TCTTCAGGTATAATTGCCATGTCAAAGTCGACTAAAATATAAAAAAATAAAAGTATGCTAATTTTAACTATTTCCTAAAATAAGTAACGTTTCTAAACTATTTCTTTTACTACTCCAATTTATCTGATGTTACACCAAAGTAATTATATTTTATAGTTTTTGCTATAAGTATATACTGTTTTTAATTTTTCATATAAAATTATAAATTTAATGTATAAGAATAAATCCATAATAAAATCTATATATAATTGAGAGATATAAAATATAAAAATATATTATTTTAAGACAAACTTATATAAATATAATATATAAATAAAATATATCTACAATTAAACGCAGTTGTGAAAGGAATATTTGGTAGTCTGGTTAGAATATTGGAAGGTCAAATTGAATGTTCACATTTATCCATATCGTCAATCTCTCTCATAATGTAATAAATTGAATATTCTATAAAACATCTAGGTACTAAAGCCAAATTTAAATGTTTCAAATATGTATTACAAATGGAATGTATTTATTAAATTATTTCTTAAAATTCCATTTTCTATTATCTCAGAAGTATAAATAAAGACTTACCACTTGCTGGCGGCAAAGCTGGAATAGAACCAACATTTACATTGGTTGATAAATCATTATTATCGTTGATCGTTTCTACTGACGGTAAAGCCAATACTTCCAATGAACCTTCCTCAGATCCATCATTTAACATTAAAGTAGTACTGACTTCAGTTGCTTCACCTTGAATTTCCCATTCAAATTCACCTGAAGTGCGTAAGTAAATATTACATATATTTTATATTATTATAAAACTAATAATTATATAATCTAAAAATTTATACCGGGAAAGTTATTCTTACTGTCTGAACTATTTGGTTCTGGTTCTTGGACTAGAGTTATTTGAGGTATCACAGTCCTCAGATTTTCTGATAAATTATCGTTTTCATACCAGCCTGCTAAATCCATATCTTTAATTGTACGCATTGAACTAGCGCCCATATATTGACATAAAGGATTGTTCTAAATAATCAATTGAAATAAAGTTAAGTAATTAATTTGTCATATAAATATTGAAATAAAAAAAAATAATTTTAAAAATGAATGTTACTTACGGACTTATCAGGTAATTCTGCAGTAACAACTGCCATTTCTAGAAGATAAATAGCCAATGCCATAACATGCTCTGATATATTATGTCCATTCACAGCCTTATATAATATTATAAATATCATAGCATGAAATACTCTGGTACGTAGGACAAGACGTGGGTCATCATAGTCTGATGAAACTGGTGCAGGATGTCGAAAAGGTGGCCATGGTGTTGCATTATTCTTTAATTTACCTGATTGCTTTACACTAAACAATACAATATCAGATTATCAATATATGTATATATAAATGTTGTTATTTTATTACAAAATTTCTAAGCTTACTATTCAGTAAAACGATCCATAGATATTTGAAAATCTCTTCGATGAACAGCCCTTAGTAAAACATGTAATGGGTCAAATAATTCATCCCAGACTCGTGGTTTAGGGCCATACATACCCTGTTGCATAAATCCACTAGCTTCAAGATTTGGAGCTCGATATTGTGCTACCTATAAAATAATTACATAGAAATAAAAAAAAAGAGACAGTGTATTATAAAGCGTATAAAAATAACAAAGCATACTTCAGCTAAAACTGATTCAAAATCTCTGTTCTGTGTAGTACCACATCGTTCTGGCATCAATTCCATTAACTGACTATGAGTTTTATCTCCCATACAAAGTAAAGTAACCATTTCGAGACAGGACATTTCAGGATCAGACAAACCTAGAGATATAATTCACAAATAATAATAATATTGTAGAAGTACTATACATATTTAATAATAATAATATATACTTACCTAGATTCGTTCGTACATTTACTAGAATTGCCAAAAATGTTAAACAGCTTTCTAGCATAAGAGTATCATGTTCACCTTCTAAATATTCATTTTGAGGTGCATGATATAGACTCAAACTCATCCATTCTCGTACGTGGAATCTATGTAAATAACAAATATCATATAACATAATATATTTATACAAAAATAATTATAAATTTAAAAAGAAAAATTATATTACTTTTCAACAACAGTTTTTAGAAAAACATCTGGCTGTAATCTAGTTGCACAAATTTGCAATAAATATAAATCAGCATCAACCATTGAATTGCAAAAATTGCATTGTATATATGTCATAGCTTGTCCTTTTATTTGAAGTCCATTGCGTACCCATAGTCCATTTAAAATTTCAGAAAATGCCACCTAAAAAAGATATATGATTCTTATTTGATAACTAATTGTTATAAATCATTTCAACTGAAAATTAACAAACATTTTTGTTAAAAATTTTAATAATTCTTACAATTACCGTTTTGGGAATTATAATTAATTGTTACAATGTTAAAAAAAGATACCGTTAACTAACATATATAAAATTTTTAATTTCTTGAATAAACCCCCATACAATCATTTCCGATATATCGACCAATCAGAAGAAGTTTAAGAAGACTGAATCACACACGAGATCGCAGCACATCAGTTCACAACTGTTGTTTCAACGTGAAAGACGACGTGAAATATGTTCCTGTTTTTTTTTCCATCTTTCATTTTTAAAAACGTTCATGCAATCTTGCATTAATGCATTAATTAATTTTTGAAAGTGTATAACATATATTAGTTTAAAGTTGAAAGATCTCAATATTGAAAGAAGAGAAAACAAAAGCTTCGAATACGATTATTACAAAGAACCATTTAAAAAATGACGATAAAATGGAGCGGAAAAGTGTTTTCAATGATTTTGATCATTCTTATATCTTTCCATGTTCAACCAAACAATAGCCTAGGTGATTTCACCTTCGCCAATGTGGGGGATATTCTTACATTTGGTCAAGAAACTATAATGGAGTTATTGAAAATTTTAGAAATTGTAGACAATTTACCCGGTAATACTGAAGCAAAAATTCCATTTATAAGCAGACAAGAGAAGATATTAAAGAATCATATTCGCGAGGTTTCGCATAAACTTGACGTTTATCAGGAGAAAACGGAAGCTAAAACGGAAAAAGTATTAGAACAATTGATGATTAATTTACCGAAGAAATTATCTATGGAAAATGATTTTCATGAATTCGATCACTACGTTGGTCAGATCAATGACCTTTACGATGTCTTTATCAAATATGCTACCACCCCTGAGGCATACGAGAGATTTACGCTAGAAAACTTTGCTAAAGCCAGTGTTTCGTCTGATTTAGGTGCTCTTTCAGATGTATTAAAAACACTTCATCGTTTAATAGTTCCAAATCAATCGCAACTATTCAATAGAAGTATTATCATCGCTTTTTCGAATCAAATGAAGGTAAGTCAACAAGAAATAGCGTATGTTTCTTTCAGATAATTTTCAATAACGAATATTGATATATGTATATATATCAATTTTATTTAAACGTTAAAAATGCCAGAAACAAAGTTGCACACCTATAATAATATATATATATAAAACTCAAATACGTATTAAACTGTTAATGTAAAGAAAATGGCATGCCTATTATCAAAGTAAAGAATGTTTGTTGATTCAGATTATTTTATCTGCGAAACCAACAAATTTTTCCAACATTTTGAAATTTAAAATGCATATTTGTATAATGAAGAAATGATTTAATTATTATCATACTAGCTATGTAAGATTTTGATTTTATATTGAATATTTTTAAACAGGAAGTTGGTAGATTTTTTTTTATTTCAACAACTATGAAAGATCGACAAATTAATAAATATCCTGTCACTGAAAACGCTCTTTAATAATCCCTGGTCGTATTACGTATCCAATAATCTTGAGTCATTACATGTTAAAGAATATAATGCAGACCGGTTGTCATCCGATGAATATCAACTGATAAATTGATCGAACCCCATAGATATCAAAGCATTTATATACATATGTGTATATATTTACTTTACGAGAATATCTAGAAATACTTTCACATGAGTAACGAATAATAAATAATCGATTTGTTGATTTTATAATTAATCAACGTGTTTTTTTTTGTTTTCTCTTTACATATTCAAATATTACAAAATTAGTTTAAACGGTAAATATTTTTTGTTGAACTTGAAAATAATCCACGATGTTACGTGAATAATTAAGAATATATATACAAAAAAAAATCATACAAAGAAAACTAATTTATATAACATTTCCTGTCGGAAATGATATAAGTTTATGAATAAACGTATATATAAAGCAAAATTAATATTCTATAAACCTATTCAAAATGGAATCACCCTTTTTAAATGTGACCCAAAAAAAAAAAACAAATAATAATAATCGATATGAAAGAATTTATAAGAAAGAAAAAGTGAGTCATCATTCCTGAATAACAAAACCTTTCTTCTCTCACTATATTAAAATAAAAAGAAATAAAATAAAATAACAATTTTGACCTTTGAAATTCGTTCAAAAATCTTACGAGTCAATAATGGAATGTTGATTTCAAATTATAAATAAAATTAAATCAATAGATTTCAATTGGATATATATTATTTGAATGGATAAAATTTTTATCTCGTGTTGTATCATTCCAATGTAGTAAGTCAGTCAGTCATTCAACGAGTAAGAGGAGAAAGAGAACGGTATAAAGAGAGAAGGAGGGGGGACATGCGCAGGATGCATAATAACATTACTTACTCGAGAAATAGTGATGTGGGGATGGGGGGGGGGTAGAGTGAAACAGTGAGAAACAAACGAGAAATCTCTCAGTGTAGTTGGAACACTTGGAGAGAGACATAGTGTATATCTAAAATTGTGTTGTTGGTTGTTCGTTCTATAAAATTTCACAAATCTTCCAAAAATAATATGTTTACATTTAAATAACAATTAAACACGTTAACGTAACTAATAGATTCTATGTGTTATTAAATAAGGTTTTGTAAAAAGAAAAAAAAAAATACAGGAAGTAAGGTTTAGAAAAATAGTTTTATAAATTGTTGTAAGATCGCGTCTCGTTTATTATTTTCAAGGTTCGACCGTGAAATTTCTTCAGCTTAAAAAAAGAAAAAAGTGCATTCCATAAATGCGCAATAAAACGATCACTGACGTCAAAATATGCTCCTTTACGAACTTAGAAGAAAACAATTTCTATAAATATAGAGACACACAAAAGAAATACTGACGTTCTCACGTTTCTTGTCCGTGTTTTATAAATGCTTACACGTAACTTGTAAGCCATGCGAGAAACACACGAGTAAAAATCTTTGTCTCTTTATAATATAGAGTGACAATATCTATACGGGTAAAATACGTTACTAATTGTTTTCGATTAAATTTTATAAAAGGTTACACTGTTAGTCCTTGTTACTCGTAATTTAATTTAATATTATTACGAATAATTTGTTTTGAAATACTGTTTATCAAAGCGTTGCAACATAGTACCACAATATAAAATAAAGCAATCGTAATTATATAATACGGATCTTTCACGAAGAAAAATCTTTAAGTTTGAATGGAAAAGATATTTTTATTGATTATTTACGATTCCCCTTTTCCCATTTAATAAATAGATTATTAGAACAATAGATTTGTCGAACGTAAATAATTTGAACGTAAAAAAAAGTATCGGCGTAAATATAATATTTGTTATAAACTTTCTTTTGTTTTGTTATTTTTTTTCTTTTTATAACGATATCAACTTTGAACCTTCTAGTAACCTAGTAACAGTTAATTACGTAAATAAATATATATGCATTCTTGAAAGATTTATATCGTATTTTTATAAGGATTCTTTCCTTATCTCTTTTCACCATTTAGAATGAGAATTATGAACTCGTAGTTAGAAACTTGTAAATTCATAAAATTTCGCAATTAGATGTCTGTTTTAATTGTACGTTAAAGAAAGAAGTAAAACGTCACGAAAAGAAATCTGAATATCGATCATCGCGACATAGAATTTTCAGTATAATCATCAAGCAGTAACCTTTATTTTTCTTAAATGTATGTATGCAATACTAATAACGGTATTTAAGAGCCTTGAAAGTTTTCCGCGATTTAGAAAATATTCTTTAATTGAACATTTTTATGTAAGATTTTTTAAATCATTATATTGCTAAAAGATTACTTGCGAATCGTGGGTACGTTGAAAGCAAAAGCCAAAGAAGAAGCCACAAGAGAAAGAAGAAGAAGAAGAAGAAGACAAAATGATACCGTTTAAATCATTCGTGTGTTTGCTTTTCTTGTTTGGAATGTGGACAATAAAATGTGATAGTAAAAATGATATCTCATTAGTTGACGAGTTAAGACAAGAATTGCTTGAACAAGAAGTAACATTGAAAAAAGAATTGAATAATCCAAAATGGTCTTTATCTAAAGATGTTGATGTATATTTATATATTATTAAATTTTATAAACAATTCTGTGACCACATTGAACAACTATTTCCAAATAATTCTCCAACTCATTTGAATTCTTTGAGTTCTTCATGGATTTGGGCAAGAACAGAACAAGAACTAGCAGGCATAGATGGATTATATATGATATTTAGGCAAATGCAACGTGAAATTGTAGATCAAAATTCAAAAATTCAAACAACACAACTGACAAATTTTGCAAATATTATTTTAAACGATCCTAATGCATCAATATCTAAAGCATTACAGCGTATAGCTGATTATATTGTGAATCAAAAATTATTCATTTCAGCTTATCAGGTAGCGTGATTAATACAAATTATGATAGGAAATATTTAAAAAAGAATCTAAATTTCTATATAAACTATTTCTAAATTCTAAATTTTATTTTATTTTATAATCTATTTAAGTGTACCAAACACACTTCACATTGCTATAAGCTGTTTTTTGTAATATTAATCTTTGTTTCTTTATATTTGCAGGAATCCTCGTCTCAATTCTGTAGCGAACAACAGTCTCCACAACAATTATTATTCCATTTGTACAATACTATTGCAATTACAGAGATTAAAGGATATACAATGATTCAATTTTCTTATATGCTGTTACGATTATATATTAGTGGTATGTAATAATTATGTGATATTTACTTAATATTTAATATTTCATATTTCAAAAATATATTTTTATTTGTTATATTTCAGGTTCAAATTTTACTGAAGAAATGGAATCATTAAAGCAACAATATGCTGTAAGAACCTCGGAAACATTAAGGGCAGTAAAAACTGCAATGGCTTTTGCTCCTCAAGATTTTTGGAGATGTGATCCGTTCAGATATGAGCAAGGTATATATATCCACTGATTATATTAATGTAATAGAAATTATAATAATACTTTAGATTGACAAACAAACTTATTGATTATTTGTTATTTTATTTCCAGATAAGACATATGTAGAACTAAACCAATTGTTTCAAGGATATATTGTCAATGAAGTTGATTTGAATGGTGGCTCTACATGTAGAGAGAACTGTGCTTATTATGTATATGCAAAAATTCATGGATGTTACGACAATCAGTTCTGTGCACAACAACGAATGTGTAGCGGAAAACTTGTAAATTGTGAATTTATTGATTCTGATATGTGGGTCTGTCCTTCGGTATGTACATTCGTTAATTTTCTTCAAAGTATTTATCTGATATATATTACTTTTTTTTCTATGATTAAATAGAAAGACAGTTCAAGACGATATGACTATATAGAATATGAAAATGGCAAAGTATTTGGACAAAAACAGACTTGCCAAAAGTCTGTCACTAAAGTTGATAGCTGGTGGCGTTGGCTATTTTGGCATTGCAGTTATTGTTTTTGCTATTGCGACGATCACAACTCTAGCTCAGATCGATATTTTAATCTACGTCCAGTTATTGCGGATATTAACAATAACAAGTAATCATTTTATTTCTTATTTTAATATAAATATTGTGTGTATATACAAACGAATACTAATTGAATATATTAATATTTTTAGAGTAATAACAGGAATCAAATTAACCAAATCTAACAAAATAATACATATACAAATTCAAGAAGGAGAACTACTTCCACGAGGAGCTATAAATTCAAAGACTGTTGCATGGAAGCCAGTAGATAATTATACTGTTTACGATTCTAATGTTGATAACGGAGTCGATTATCATACTATAGTGTGGGAAAAACGAGCGATCGATTTAGACGATTTAAAATCTCCTGAAAACCATCTTTTAACAGGTATTCTATATGAAGCTTAAATATCTCTCTTTAAAGTGCGCTATATATTTCTATTTTTAATTATTTATTTTATTAAACGTTTATAGGTATTAAATTACGTATGATTGGTACCCGGTTAAATTTGGAAATAATGGTAACTCCATTTAACTTCACAACTGGCAAATTAATACAACCATCAGAAAAAAGTTATTGGATAAGTAATGATAATACTGACAGGTAAATTAGATTTTTTTAGATATGATACTTAATGCAACAAATATCTACTTATACTTCACATCATTCCAGGAAAGAATTAAAACTTAAGAATGCAGATATTCCAATTCGATCAGAGTTACAACATGTCTCTGATTCAGGAGAAAATCAGTATCTAAACTTCGGTCCTAGTGATCGCGAGAAAGATGCTGCACAGAGTACTATACCATTTTTAGATATTCAACCAGTAGAACCAATACCAGCAGTACCTATAGCAGGCGCTGGGATTTTTCATAAGGGTAGACCAGGTTCTGGAGGATTTCTTACTTTAAAATTGATAACGTATAATTTTGCTCCACATCTACATACTGATTTGCCACCATCACCACCAGTTATTGAAAAATATAATGAAATAACTGCAGTATAAACTTTAGTAATATTCAAATGATTTATATTAAAATTTTACTAAATAATTAATGTTATTCCAGATTAATCGTAAGTGTAATTTAATGCCAGTGTTATTTTTCTTTCATAGTATCAGTTCGTATAAATAGAATTTTATATGAATTTAATTGCAATAATAATTAAAATAAATTAATTTACTTGCAAATTAACGAAGTAGTGTATTAAATAAAATCATTGTAAATAATTTTTTATACTATTATACCAATTGTTTTGTCTCGAATAGTCTTCTAACGTGTTATAGAAATAAAATTATTCATTTTATCTGTATACAACTTTGTGAAGAAAATGAACAAAATAAATAACAATAAAAAGAGTAGTAATGTTCTATATGTTGAATATTCATTCATGTATAAAATATGTGTTATTTATAACACATGTTACTTTTGTAAAATAAATACTAATACTATTTCTCAATTCTCTATATTATTTATAGCTATATAAAAGTATTTTTATTAGAATATTAGAGAGATTAATCAACTTACCTGAACTCGTAATGGATGCATCATGAGAAGATGAAGCATATCATTGGGTGGCAATAAATCCTGAAGTGTTACGCCTTGTTGTCTAACTGCTTGGCACATAAATACTGCAAAGTATCTATGAAGTGGAAGGTGAAATGAAACTTGTAGACTATCACTCTGAAACAAGAAATTAAATGTACTTAATATTTTAAAATTACAAGCAATTGTTTATTTTTATATGTAATACAATTACATTTAATGAAATGTAATCTTATTTGAATTTTTAATCGAATTTAAACGTAGATATATTATATATTCAGATCAATCAGATTGAATCATATATTAAATTTAACTCTTTCGCTGCAATGATAAAAAAATTGCTGAACATCTGTGTTGTAAGTGTACATTTTACACTTTGATAATAAAAATAAAGAAAGTTCAGGACAACAATTAATGTATTATGGACAAAATATTCATAAACGTTATAGCAAAAGATTGATGTTTTTAGCTATCCACAAGAAAGTAAATATTTATCAATTTAAAAAGTAATTTAATAATATCATTACCACATTTGGATGAGTATAATTTACTCCATCTAACCAATCTTGTAAAGCGATGAGACAAAACGTAAGAACTCTTCTACTAAGAGTTGCACTTTCAGGTCCACGCAGATGTGAAACTAATGCCCACATTGGATAAGCACTAGCTTCCAATTCAGCACTGAATGCTGCATAATACGTGTTGGGTTCAAATTCAACATGTTGACTTAATTCTCTTTGATTAACGTTCATTCCTAGAATATACATGTTACAATGTTACTTTCATTCACAGTAAAATAATTTTCTATTTTATAAATACAATAAACAGAATACAAATTATTTAAAATGTAGTAGATAATTAAATATATTATTAATACCTTGAAACATAGAAAGAAAGTCAAACCACATTTCTAGAAGTGTGTCATCACTCATAAATCTTACAGCAACAGGTTTGTGAGAAAGAACATTATTTAAATCTGACACAAGAGGCCAGTAGCAATGTTCTTTCATTACTTGCCGTGCACAATCGACAACATAATGAAAATTTTTATCTGGATCTGCAATATATAAATAAATAATTGAAATAAATTAATTTTATTTAACAATGTGTGTGTCAAATAATTATATAAAATACATACCATGTAATGTATTTTGAATTAATATTTTACTCATCATATATTTCAAACTAATAACCATTACATGTAATAATTTTAATTGGTCAACCATCCTCAATGCAAGGCCTTCATTACTAAATAACTAAATTAATAATAAACCAGTTTAGTTATAAATTAATTGAATGAAAGGATACATTATATACAAAAATATAATTAATAACAATTACCTGTACGCTAACATGCACAACCCTGTTGCTAAGAGTATCAGGATCTGCAGAACGTTCTAACATCATAGAAATTCTACTATAGTGCAGAACGAATGCGCGGGTTAAAGCTTCTTTATAATCAGGTTCAGGTAACATATTTAGTAATAAGCATACTAATTTTTGTGGAAATTCATAGGCGACAGTCCAAAACATTAATTCTTCCAAAAAAGTTGTATGTTCTAAATGTTCTTGTAAAGAAGCACATTCTGCAAATTTAAAATTGATATTTGATTCTATAAAATTTTAATAATAACTAAAAAGATACATAGGTCATCTATCAACGATTTTTATAATATACCTTTGTATTCATCCGGTGGTTCTGGATTTGGCAAAGATTTAACAGCATCTTTGTATATTTTGTTGCTATCTTGACAATAACTACCATACTCTGACTGACCAGTAAAGATAGAAGGATCCATAAGACCTCTATATTTTTGTGGATTAGTGAGTGCTGTTGTCATAACATGCCTCATTAATGCACCCATGTTGTTTAAATCAAGAAGCATAGTTAAATAAACATCTGCATCTTGTATAGGAGCTCTGTAATCTGTATATTCTCGTACATTGTGAACTCCCACTTTACTAAAAACAAAAATTGAATTTATGATATTCTAATAATTTAATGAAACAAATATTTGGCATAAAGTTGACTTACCAATTTTCTCTTAAATGTTGAATAAGACGCAAAATAATTCTAGGCATCATTGCTTCTGCAACACACATTAAATCTGAAGGTGCAGCAGATTTATTAACTGCAGCTTTTGGTCCATGCTTATCACAGAAACTGTAAATCAGAATCCCGAAGCATTATTATTTGTATTTAAACAATTTTCTATTTATAAATATTTTTAAAACAATTACTTGTATAAATGTTTAATCTAAATAATAACATACCCAGTCTCTTTCATGACAGATGCATCACCACAATCGCATGCACCACCAGCTTGACTAAGAAACATGTTAAAATCGTGACGATGATGATTTCCTTTTTTGAAGCATTCAGTACACAGAGACATACAAGGTGATATTCCACAAGTACGACAACGATATGCCACAAAATTTGGAGTCCACACTAATCCACATGTTGTAGCATTGTCATAAGTTCGTACTAAAATACAACGATATTTTTGAATTACAATATCTCACAGTAAAATATATATATACATATACATATATACATATATACATATACATAAACATAGGGTATTCTAGAATAAGTAGGAAATATTTTAAGGAAAGCTTTAGAAGTTTAAAACGATAAAAAACATTTTTATGAATAAATATCATATTAGATTTTTTTTTCAACTTTAATCTGTAGGGTTATTTTTAAAATATAAAATAACCATCTATAGTATTGGAACTCTTCATAAAAGAATTAAATAAAGTTTCCAGCAAATTGAATTAACATCTAAACACATACGGAGAGAATAGAATAGTCATTGATAAAATGTCTGCAAACTTGTATTCAGATGCAAAGAAGTAATTTTGAACATCTCTTATCAAAGTAAAAGAAGAATATGTTTAAAATAAAATTCGCTATTACTTGAAAAAAAGTCAAAGAAGATATATGTTTGACCTTTTTTATTGTTTATATGTGCTAGAAGTTATCGCTGAAATATTTACCACTTATTCTAAAACACCTTGCATATACTTAAAAAATTATTTAATAAATTTTCATACATTACAAGAATTTCAATTTTGTTATTATTACAAATAATAATAATAATAATAATATATTTCCACTAAAAAATTCTTTACTTTAAGAGAGAGAGAGAGAGAACGTTACTTATAAATAGATTAAAAATTATATTTATCTACTCTTGGAACAAAGTTAAACAAATGAAGAATTAAAATCCTAAACAAGTAAGTAATAGTTCAAATTAGATATTGTAGATATAATAAAATTCATATATACATATACTTATTGTAATATTGTTAGTAAATACTATATATACAAGTATCGTATATATGTAAGTTAAATATGTACATTCACAGAAAGTTTCTATGGATGCCAAATACGCAAATGTTAGTAAATTTATAACAAATGAATAAAGTCAAGTGGCATGAAGTATAAAGAACTATCTTCTAAAAGTTATCAAATTATATGAATCTTATATGAGTAATATATGAAGATAAATAATATATATTAGTTATTCTCTATATACTAAATGTACATCATGAATTTTTATATGAAATATATGCACTAAACGACATCATAAGAACCACTTTAATACTTAATTTAATTCAATTAATATTGTATCATTGAACATATGCTTATAATGATATATTGAAAATATAAGGATTAGTAATATAAAATAGGCGTCTTTCTGACCTGTATTTGCATATTCATCTGGTGTACGGCCACCTGCCATTAGCCATTTACACCAGTCGATAGTTTCCCAGTCATCAATAGGTTTACTGGGATTCAAGAGAATATCCAAGAGTTCATTCAGATGTGGTGGACCTGCTGCATCGATGGTTGGATTGCTACATTCTGCATGAATGTATGCAGCAGCACCACGTTTTCCTTTATTCATCAACACCTGTGCCGAAGCACTGGAGGTTGATGCCATTTCGTAATGAATATTTCTTGACAAAGCAAGAAAGAATAACTAAATGAGTTGTTTTGGCATTCAAAGATCACTAAAGTATACAATGTGCCAGTTGAACGATTGAGAGATGACTACGTTTCTTATAATTCTACGGTACCAATAGTACCGTCAATCCTCGTGGGGAAGTTTGCGCTTCCCGATGACCTTTTGATGCGAAAACTTCCGGGAAACCTTCCAAGGAGAGGCGAACCACGGATCAGTAAATTCTCGGCAACCTCCATATCAACAAGAATCTCCCGTCAATTCTATCTCCTTTGCCAATTCTGACAGCATGACGAAAATATCAGGTAACTCTTTAACGTGCACTATTGTCACGGATTGTGTCCCGTTTTCGATTCGCAAATCTATCGTATCAAGTAGCGTATGATGTTTTAATATCAGTTATAGACAAAAAATTGAGACAAATCCGCAATTGCGGAAGGAAAGAAGCTGAGAGAAGCACTCAATCACCGATCGCTCATCCAGTTAACCGTAGTTTGTTCGTCATAGAATTGTTCAGCAATCTTCAGTAGTTCGATCGTGAATTTCCCTACTTTACCGACAGATATATATTGTTGTCATATACTCAGAATTAATAACGATAAGTGATTGGATTTAAAGAATTACCGGATGCAGTTCTTCAAGATTTTCATGTATACACTGACAAAATACTATATCGTGATTGGTTAATATCAGATACCAATCGTAAATATTCGGTACAGTATATAATTATATATATTTTATATTATTTTTTAAATTATTAATATATATATTTCTTATACTAAATATTTTATATGTTCTTCTTTGATCGCCTCTGTTGTCCTAAAAAAAAAGAACAAAAGATTAGATATAAGTTGAGAATATAAATAAATTATAATTTTTTTTATAAACTCTACAAATAATTTGTTAACAATTGTAATATACAATTATTAAAAAATAGTGTACAATAAATGTAACTGTTTATAATTGTATTGGTTTTATTAATCGGAAGTAAAAAAATAAAATAAAATTACTAGATACTTAAGTAGGGGAAAGTACATCGTTAGAATGGCTACCCTGAAAATTTGAGAAGGTTCTCTTTCTCTCGCGTGTCACAAAACGTGTATGTTGCTGTGTAAAATAATTTACAAATCGCAGGTAATCTCACATTTTGGATTACATCCACTAAAAATATTGGTTTAATTTATCGTAGTAAATAATTTGTTTAACTTACTGTAATTATTTTATGTTTTATATAATGCTTATACGATGTTAATTTTTAAAGTGATCACTGCTAATAAAAGGGATACTTAACATATCTTTTAAAGATTCTTTGATATATTTAAAATATATCGTAACTTAAATGTATATATATAGAAATTTAGTTTATATTTATAAATTTTTATAAAATATATTTCATATATATATTTTATAATTAATATTGTTTTCTTTTGTGTGTTTTTGTATGTAATAATTTATGTAGGTTTTTATTGACGGGTTATAGGTTAGGACCCTCTGTGGTGGGAAACTAAGTTATAGTTTTTCAAAACAAACAAGATTTTTACAAGTATCTAATATACATATCTAAATACACATTAAACTTATAAGAATAAATAATACTTTTATACCATTTATGTGTAATAGAGATTCTGAGTTTTATAATATTAATTTTTGATATTTGTGTATTTACAGCCATGGTGCGAATGAATGTTTTGAGCGATGCTCTGAAATCAATTAACAATGCAGAAAAACGTGGTAAAAGACAAGTTTTACTGCGTCCTTGCTCTAAAGTAATTATCAAATTTTTAGGGGTTATGATGAAACATGGTGAGTAAAATATATTATAAAATTATTATGATTTACTTCTAATATGATTAATATTTGATTCGTTATAGGCCAAAGCAATAATTTCTACTTTAAGAATTTTGCATACTTTTAATCCTGAAGCATCAGAGATTAATGCTTAACTTATTATATTAAAAATAAATTTCTTTTGTAATTAAATTTAACATGGATACACAGTAACGATTGTTAACATCCGTAAATAATTAATGATATTATAATGTATTTGTTATCTTCTATCAATTTTTTTTACTTCTTCTCTTGTGGAATTAATTGGTTTGGTAGATAATAGAGATATTAATGTTTATTTTAATATTATTTTATAGGGTACATAGGAGAATTTGAAATAGTCGATGATCATCGTAGCGGAAAAGTAGTTGTCAATCTTACTGGAAGATTAAATAAATGTGGAGTTATATCCCCAAGATTTGATGTACCAATTAACGATATAGAAAAGTGGACCAATAATCTTTTGCCATCTAGACAGTTTGGGTAAATTTATGAAACTTATATTTTTTTAATTATGAATGATATGTCAAAAACTTAGCATAGCTTGTTGTTTATAATAAATCTATGAAATACATTTTATAGATATGTCGTATTAACAACCAGTGGTGGCATCATGGATCATGAAGAAGCAAGGAGGAAACATCTGGGAGGAAAAATTCTTGGATTTTTCTTCTAATTTTTGTTTATTTAAGTAAATAAAATTTCTTAAAACACTAATGTTGGTTATTATTTGTTCTTTCTATAAAGAATTTTATTCAGTTTCCTGGTCGTATTATTAGTAATTATTTGTTCTTTTTATACAGAATTTTATTCAGAATTGGATTAAGACCTTATGTATAGTTATAAGTATATTTGATACATTTAACTATTCAAATCCCTATAAGTCATACAATATAATTTTATAATGTAATTTTAATGTAATGTAATTAAGCAGATTTTGTAATGCCGATGACACCACATGCGAGACGAGCTCCTGCATTTCCAGTAGTTTTTGACAATTCATGACCACCTTTACCAAGGTCATCAGGATCACCATGAACCACAAGGGTTCTGCCAATTATGTTGTGTTCTCCTTGAAGTTGTATAATTTTGTCAGTTATGTTGACCTTGGCAACACCTTTGGTATCAGCTTCAACATTTCCTAAATCTCCAACATGACGTACAGCATCATTCGGACCACCGTGGTCTTTTCCATGAGGATTGAAATGAGGACCAGCGCTCGTGCAGCCATTAGTATTGTCTCCAAATTCGTGTACGTGAAATCCGTGCAATCCTTTTTGAAGTCCAGTAACTTCTCCGGTTACTTTTACCGGTTGCGATTCATTAGCTTGTTCAAAAAATAAGGTTCCCTTAACGGATTCACCTTGAAGTACACAAACTGCTTTAACCGGCATGTTTATAGTTGTTTTATTAAGTTAATAAAACAAAAACTATTACGTTAAACGTATTTTTTTGTAATGCAAAGATCTCTTTTCTTATTATGCTGAATCACGACTATCGAGTTATTGCGAACTGAGTTGACAACGGAATGTTACGCGATGATAATGATAAACGGTTGTGGTCGTGTGTCGGTTTCAACGCATTACGTATTGCTCGCCTATGCGCAGTAACTTTGCGCAAACGTAAAATCGTACTGAATATATCGTGCAAATTCTCTCAGTATCGTACACACATGAACAAATTATCTATCCAGTGTTTACACGCGATATTTCTTTTTGTAATAAAAAGATATTGTATAAGTACTCTTCGAAGCAATTTTGATAAGCTTCTTATAAAAAACATTTCAAAATCCGTAGTTAATAAACAAGTTAAGAAATATCTCGATAACAAAGATTTCACATTTATTCCTATATTTTGATTTATCACAAGAACCTACTTTTATTGTTCATTACTACGGCACTGATATTTTTTTGTAAGAAACAGGTCCCTTCCCGAAGGGTAATCAGAGCATCATCATTGAATATATTACGCTGATCTTGTAGAGTTCTTAAGCTATCTTCTAGTAACAAGAACATGAATAGACATTTCTAGAATATCTAATATAAAATATTATAGAGGACGTATATTTTTGACGGGGATACATTTTATTTCTCAATGTATTCCGTTCCTTTTTTTGATTAAAATTGTAAAATTTGATTTTTCTTATCTATGGTATGTGTGCTTATTATTCATTTTAACTGTTTAATATTCGATTAGCAAAGTCATTTATTGACCTCACTTACAAATAAATTACGCAACGTTCCAAAGGATTGTATCGTTATATACGCATAAATATCCATAGATTATTATATCACATTTTCATTTTATTATGTACAGAATTAAACGATTATCTTCACGAGTACATTTAATAATATGTTAGGAAAATAATTTACATGTAAAAAACCAAATTAAATACTGTAGCGATTATACTATTTTAAATATAATTCAAAGATTGATTGTAATTGGTATTTGATCAAGTTTCCATCAGAATCAACGATCACAAATTGTTCCGAGCGTTAATTGGTCGGAAAAAACGGACATTCATTTTGCGATTGAACATTCGTGGATGAGTTAAATAGTTTTAAGCCTTTACATAGAAACAATGTTTTTTGGTCAAACTTACTTTTTAAAAAAAAAAGTAGTACTATTCTTTTTTGTCGAAGTTTGAAACTTTTTATCCCTCCTGATTTATATTGTGAATGCAGCCTAAAGATCAGTTTTCATAGTAGTGTTGACATGAATCATCAGATGGCTCTACGAGTATGATGATCGAACGTTTCGGAGCATATCATTGCGCACCGGCAAGCGATTGGTGGAGCTTCGTCGTCGGTACATAAGCGTGTATATCGTTGACACAGAATAGATATAGCGGTGCTGCGCGTGATCGTGATTTCAACTTTACACTTCTGCGCGTGAACAGAGCCGTCGCCGGACAGTCAACAAAACTTTATAATTCGAATATACCTTGTGAACCATTGCGATCTACGCGTCGACTAAGATTTTTATTGAATAGCAAGGTCTCTTAGGTTTTTTATTGTTTTTTATGTTCTTCCAGAGATACTCGTGCTCATCAAAATTGTTAATAAATGTGACCAGAGTATAAAACGACGTTGCCAGGTGTTACCAGGTGAACGTGACCATTAGGGCTGTACTACCTGGCACCCTCGCGAAGAAATATTTGCGAGGAAGGAAGTGTATAAAATAACGAGAAGAAAGAGACACATTTTTTAACAATCAATTGTGAAAAATTCATCATAAAATTATTATTTTATTTTAATTAAAAAAATTGTGCAAGAGTGTTTGAGAACGTTTAACGATCCCAAGGAAATATATCGATCGAAAAGATTTTTAATAAATATATATATATATTTTCGCATGTATGATAAATATAATATATTTATATGAATAGTGGGCGCAAACCTGTTTATAAAGGTAAAAGATTTCTCTCGTTTGACTCTACGAGCCAATTCAAATTGAACAACTTTCATTTGTGAGGATTCACGTGTTCGGATTTTCGAGGATGAAGATGGAAGAACGTAAGGCGGCACTCCTGACAACCCGATAGAATCGAAGATCAACGGGAAACCATAAAAATGCAGCCGACGCTCTCGTTCGATCGAAATAGTTAACAATTTCTCCGATGCGAGAGAAGAGTTTCACGGACAAGAGGGCGAGAGTGAGAATAAAGTGAGACGCTTCCTTTATCGAGGCGTATATATTGTGTTGATGCGTATCTTACTACGAGCGAAAGGAATGCTATCCGTTAACAGGTGTACATAATATACCTCTTTTTCTTTCTCTTCCTTTCTCTCTTTCTCTCTCTCTCTCTCTCTCTCCCTCTCTCGCTCCAGGAACGTGCGCGTCCTCGAGCGTTTGTAAGAAAAAAATAAAAAAACAAAAAAAAAAGAACTATTTCCGAAGTGTCTCGAATAGGCGACATTATGAGTTTGAAAATGCGAGAAAACGCAGAGAAAGAGTGCGCGTACGTGGGCGTTAATTTAGTGGTTGTTGTTGTCGCGTAAATTTTTACGAATTTCACGACAAAATTCAAGGCGTTCCCAATAATATCGAAAAAGTGGCAAGGAGAAGTTGGGTGCGACGTACGGTGCTGATAGTGGACACCGTCATCGCTAACAATTTTTCGGATCATTCAAATATGAGAATGAAGGAATTTTGGAAGAGTAGATTTTCGGGATATCCGTCGGATATATCCGACGCCAGGATACGAAAATTTCTCTTTACCGCTGTATGCATCGCATGGATCACCAGCAGCGCCTGCGCTACAGGTGAGTTTTCGCGCCTTTTAATGCTTTTGTCATTTTTCAAATTTCTCCACCTTTCCCTCCCCCTCCTTCGCACTCTTTAGCCGTTCTTTTTTATTACAGTTCAAATTACGATTTAATGACAAACGAATATACTCATATTTTGTTTGTTATCGTTCGAATAATTAAAACATAATTAAAGACTTATTCTAAAATAATCTTTCGAGATATTATTTAATTGAAATGCAGATACAATATTGTGTATCTTTCTAATGACATAATTAGTATTATTGTTAAAGTAACACATCCTTCCGAATTTGTTTTATTTGAACGTTCTCTATTCTTACGTTAATTATTGTTAGATATCCGGTAATCGGTAAACCAGTCGATGGTAATTAGTATCGTTGCTGCGTGATGGTGGTGTACCAACGTTGTATAAGCATGCTGCGTCATGTGAATGGCATGAAAGTAGGATGTATAAATATCTATGTGTATTATATATGTATTTATATACTTTCATAGTTTAAAAAGTTGGAAAATGTTCTTGTATAGCTGACAAAGACGAGTCCTGTCCGAAAGAGATATATGTATTCTCAAACGTAACTTTATATGCACATATAATATATATATACTCATATGTATGCATTTATGTGGTACGTATATACATATCTATATATGTTTTCCTCTTTACCTAGAGTCATGTCGAATTCATGTTAATATAAACGTTAGACGAGAGGAAAAACTGCCCGACTGCAAATCGTCTTTTTCCGGGCACCAAGCCAACTTTCAGGTAAACGCTTTTTGTAGTTTCGGGAAAAAAGAGGCGGGGAAAAAAAAGGTGGGGGAACGAAACGGAGAGAAATACGTCGAATTTTTGTGGCGTTAAGGGAAACCCTTGTTCCCTTATTATTACGAAACCAATTTGAGGGTTCAATATCGATTGCATAAATTTGACCCGTTAACGCTTGGAACGAGGACTAGGTGGTAATTTACATAAGAATATGGCGCTTTCATCCTCATAATGTTGAAACTTGTCGATTAGGAGATAAAAAAAATCTGGGAAAATCTGCCTTTATAATGCACGTTGAGTGTCGTCGCGTGGGTGCCACCTTAATTAAGATTTATTACCAACGTTTGTCCGGCCAATTGTACGAACGAAGTTAATCCGTTGACCTCTTGTCTCGATTACAAAGGATACTGGAGCACGTGCCGATGGAAATTTAGCCTCGTGCCAAAAGAAATTTAACGACTGTCGAGATGATACATTTTAACGGCTGGAAAAAAACCATAGCAATTGCAAGCGTGCACTTGTTTTTATTTTCGATTATTTCTCCGTCGTATTAATTATCCATCTATCACAGGGATTAATGACCTAATTTCGATGTATCTTTCTCATTCATGCCAAGGGTCTGTTATTTTCCTTTTCTTCTTATGCATATCTTCCATATTTCATAATCCATGGAGAATATATTAAAA